CTCTCTCTCTCTCTCTCTCTCTCTCTCTCTCTCTCTCTCTCTCTCTCTCTCTCATATCCTCCTCCTCCTCCTCTTCCTCTGTAACCCCTTCAATAGAATGGACGTTCCTTGAGGGCAGAAGCTGTTTCCTCCTCTCTGTATCCCCAGCACCCAGCGCAGGCCTTAATAAATGTTTTCTGGCTCATAGGATCACAGAGGCAGAGATGAAAAGGGTCTCAGAGGCCATACAGTCTGACCTCCTCAACCCTTTATAGATGGGGAAACTGAGGCCCGGAGAAATGAAATGAGTTGCCCAAGGTCACACAGGTAGGAAATGAGAGAGTGAGATTCGAACCCGAATCCCCCAGCTCCAAACCCAGAGTTTGTTTCCACTGTACCAGCCTGGGTGAGTGGGATTAAAATGGGTGCTGTGGAGCTGGGGCACTCCTGGGTGGGAGGGGTCAAAGGAGGGTCCTGGTTCCTCACTCCCTCCATCTCAGGCTCCTCTGCCCGTAGCTTGGGGGGCTGTCCATGCAGACACAGCTCTTGAGGCTGAGACTGAGGCCCTGCCCAAGCCCCTGGATGCACCTTGGCTTCTGGTCATTGGGAGGTGACTCAGTCAGTGGAGACCAAAAGGGAGTCTGTCCTCAGCAAAGTTAGGAAGGGCTGAGCTAGAGATGGGCCATTCACGAATTAGCTTCATTTTACTGATGAGGAAACTGAAGCTGGGAATGGGGTGGCATCCCACCCCAGCCACACTCGGTGGGGTGTTCATGTCAGAGACAGGATTCACACCCAGGCCCTCCTGACTCAGCTCAGCCCAGCCCATCCTCCCCCAGGAGATGCTATGTCCCCTGTCCTTGGCAGAGGAAGCCCCCACCCCCCACCCCTGCCACAGCCACCTTCACAAAGGACTTTGTCCAGACTGTCCCCAGCTTGTTCCATCCCCACCTCCCACCATGAGCTGAACAGAGAAAGAGCAGCCCAGGCAGAGGCTCTCATGGCCCCTCCCCAGGCCCCCTCTTTGTTCAGAAGTGACTGGCTGCTAACTCCCTCCCTGCCTCCCACCTGCCACCCCCACCCCAGGGTCCTTCAGAATTCCACTGCCCTTCCTAGGCCTGGACATCCCTGTCCTCTTCCAAGACTGCAGGCCCAGCCAGTTTTATGGGCACAGAAGACCTGGGTTCTAAATCTTCCTGTTCGTACAACACTGCACGAATCCCCTGTCTTCTCCGGGCCTTTTCTGTGACGGGGTGGGGGTGGGGAGTAGGCTCCATCTCCCTCGAGGCTCTGACATCTTCTGAACCCCTGGAGATTCCTAGGACCTGAGCAACGCTGGGAAAGGATCTTGCCAGGCCTGAAGTAGCTCCCAGCCCTCATGGTCCAAGAACATGTCCCAGCCCCCCTCCATCTGGACACTGACCAAACCGTTGCAGGGCTCACTGAGGGAGGGTCCTAGGATGGCTAGGGATCCCCAGACAGGCAGGAGCTGTCTGGCAGCAAGGTCCCCCTAAAATACTAAATATTCACTTGTGAATGGATCAGTAATACTTAATAGGTACAGTGACTTTTCCCATATAAAAACAGACTTATCACTCATTAAAATTGACTTAATATCACTTATTTTTGACCCAAAATTTCTTGGCTATTCCTCCCCTGGCTCCTCCCAGAAGCCCAATATATTTTCAGCCTTTCCAGACATAGATGCAGAAAGGTCTGGATTTGGAGTCTAAGCCCTGGGTTCAAATCTCATCTCTACTAGTGATGAGTGGTGTGACCTTGGGACTTATTTTCTTTCTCTGCAAAACAAGAGGGTTAGACTTGACAATCTCCAAAGTCCCCAGGGCTGGAACTCTGGGGTTCTAGGTCTTCCCCACAGAGTGACCCCATGGCCCATTGAGATTGGGGAGTTTGTGAATCCTCACACAACAGTCCCTTGACTTCCTTCCCCCTGTTCCCTGGCAATCTCCCGGACTGGCAGAGCAGGACGGAGCAGATACTGCACCTGGGGCTGTGCGGGCTCCTCTTTCCTCAGCTGCTGGCCCTTGGAGCGGGAGCCCAGCCTGGGGACCCGAACGGTGACCTTTGCTCACTAGACTTTATCTGTGCCCAGCAGCTCCGCCTCAAGAGGAGGGGTCGAGGTGGAGGGTGCAGGATGGGGTCCAAATCAGGGGCTCAGCCTCACTGGTCAGAGCTGACCTCCAGATGCCCTTTACTCTGTGTGTGTGTGTGTGTGTGTGTGTGTGTGTGTGTGTGTGTGTGTGTGTGTGTGTGTGTGTGTACAAAGACACCTTGCTATCTGCATATTGTCTCCCATATTAGAATGTGAATTACTTGACACACTGGACTGTTCCTTGTGCCTTCAATGCTTAGCAAAGGACTTGGGACATATTAAGGAATGCTTTCTGACCAGCTGACCGACTGAGTGCTTGCCTCTGGCCCTCAGGTTCACAGACACCAACTGGCACTACTCCATGGCCTCAGCTGCCCCAGAAGATAGTTGGGCACTCCAGTGGCCTGAGGCCCACTCTGGGCAGTTTGGGAGAGAGCTTGTTCTCATTCTCAGGGCCAGGGAACTTCCAGCCTCTTGATGCTGAAGCTGAGGGGGTTTCATAGGATTCAGGGGGCCCTCAAGGTAACCTATACTTTCATTTTGCAGAAGAGGAAAGTGAGGCCTAGGAGCCAAGTGACTTGTCTAAGGTCACACAAGGAGTAGGTGTTGGACCTAGGATTCAAACACAGGCCCATGAGGACCAAGCTGGGACATAGGACCCAGGGCCCCTAGCCCTGTTCCTGTGAACATGAGACCTTTTTTTTTTTAATTAACACTTTATCTTAAAATCTATCAACCAGCACAAACATTCAAGTCTATAAACAAAGGAGAGTGTATGAGAACTTTGCCCCCCAAACAAGGCAAACAAATGTGGTTGTCCACGGTTGTCTGCAGAGGCCCATGTAACAGGACTTGATCATTACAGAATAGCAGGTAAGACAAACAGTCTGGGGTCAAGGTCTTCCCAAAGCTACCTGATGCAGCCAACTTGGACAGGTTTTGTTGCTGCCACCACCATCTTTGTTAACATAGCTGCAAGCCCTGTGTTCATTTGTGTGTGAACACGTAAATCCAGAAGGCTCCTCATGCCAAGACAGAAAGATATGGGTTAGCCAGAAGTATGGTTAAGATTTAGAATGGAGAGGGTGGTAGGTCCCAAGGAACAGTGGTCATTGATGGCACAAGTGACCTCATTGCAGGGGCCATCGCCAGTCGTCTTCATCTATGTCTTGCTGTTAGACTCCAATGACCCTGGAGGACAGAGTGAGGCTGATGACTTGTACAACTCTGCCTCACTTAAATCCAGTCAAGACATCACCCTCCTGATATATTGGTCCTCTTTGAGACAATAACAATGACCTCATTCTATCCCATCTTCAGCAAGCTTCCTCTTCTATCATCCCCACTCTCTCACCAATCTTCAATCTCTCTGCTTCCCTACTGCCTACAGTCATGCTCATGCTTTCTCCATCTTTAAAAAAAACCTCCTCTTGATCTATCCATCCCCACTAGCCATCGTCCTGGATTGCTCCTCCCTTCTCAGCTAAACTCCCCAAGAAGGTCTCCAATTCCTTTCCTCTAACTCTCTTCTTAACTTGATAGCATAACTCTTGGCTCAGAAGGCCATTTACATAGGACTGTCCTCACTGGTGCAGATTGACTTCTCCCACACCTTCACAAAGGGTGAGCTGAGTTGGGAAAAGTGAGAGAGAAGAGAGATCTGGACTCTTCTAGTTCCAGTTTAAAGAGAGAAGATGTCTCATTTCAACCTCTCTTCAGGTTGCTGAAGGAGACAAAGACTGGGAAGAAGCTGACATGTTGAATTTTAATCATGTCTGTATTCCCAGCTTCCCACTAGAGATGTTAGAGGAATTTTCCCTTAAGTGAGTTCTGAGCCTCTCTCTTGGTTGAGCTGAATTGTCATTCCCAATGGGAGAGTTCATTTACTGTTTATCGTTTGGCATATTCTCCAGGAAGCTACTTCTCTGATTTGTTGGCTTTCAGCCCAGGTAGATGGGTAGCTTGATAATGACCATATATGGTCTGGCATTTGGTGTGCGTGTATGTGGGGGAGAGTTAAGCCTTGTGTACACAGCTTGGGGCACTTCTTCCCTATTAAGGGGCAGTTAGCAGGTGCCATTTCCCCTGCACTAACAATATTTAGGGATGTACCCAGGTTTAATTCTAAACTGGTATCCCCTCTCTGAGAAGAGGAGAATAACCAGCCATGTGGTGTCAATCTCTTGATTTCCCTCCTGGCAGGAATCAGTCTCCCTTGGAAAAGGGTGGAGGAAGGAGACTTCAGAGGTGTCTATTCACATCAGACAGAATAACAGAGAATGCTGTGGGGCCTGCCACAACATCTGGTCTCTACTGTTCCGTCTTCCTGTTCATCATGTATTTGCACCCTTGATGCAGACACTGGTCCTTAACCCAACTCCCACTGAGCAAGCATGTCAAACACCGAGAGGGGGTGGCTACTGCTCTATCTCCTCTTGGGACTCCAGGGGTATCCCTGAGGGACTGTGCGGTTCTTCTCATGTTATCAGCTTAAATCCCCACTCCCCACTCCAGGGTATTCTCCCTCACATCAATTTCAGTGCAAGTTAATTTCTCCTCAATATCGCCATTGATTATCATCCCATTAGCAATGTAATCAGTATCTCAGTTTTTGCAAGAGGATATTTCCTGAGAAGATATAGCAAAAAGAAAAGGATAAAACATCCCCCCAGTAAAAACAAGGGGTTCTTTCTTCCCTCTACCACCCTGGTCCCTGGAGAGGGTGGGTTCAAATTTAAAGAAATTGCTAACATGACTAACATGGAAATGTTTTCCATGATTGCACATGTATAACCTATATAGAATTGCTTGCCTTCTCAATGAGGGGGGTAGAGAGAGAGGGAGAGAATTTGGAACTCAAATTTTAAAATAAATGTTGAAAATGGTTTCCATATGTAATTGGGGGAAAACAAAATATTGCATTTTAAAAAATAAAAGAAAATGATTGGAAAGAAAGAAGGAAACTGCTACAAAGCATTTGCCCTACCAAGCTCGCTTTCAAATGGAGCATAGCTGATGGCCAGTGACTCCCCTGCCTGTTCATGGCACCTCACTGCTGGGCTCCTCCAGTGATGGTCTGGATCAAGCAGGTTGCTATTGAGGGCTGGCTCCTTCCCAGACTTAGCTCCTGGACTTCTGGCGGCTCTTTAGAACTTAGACAATCTCACAAGACCTTGGACCAAATAAAGACAGAGCCAGGAGGCAAACCCATCCCAGACCCAGGTTTGCAGGGGGCAGGTCCTCTGGGCCAGCCCAGTGCGGGCAGGGGCCCTCTCCACTCCACAGCGGACCTCCGGAGCCCAGAGCTTCGTGGTTACTCCTCATGGGCCACAGGAGGGAAAGCGAGAGCAACGTCCCCCTTTGGCACCTTTGGTCTATTTCCAGGACTGGCACTTTCTGGCATTTCTGTAAATGAGGACTCTTAAAACTACCAATGCTCTCCCACAACACTGGGAGCCAGAAACTGGTAAACTCTTCTAAGCAAGGCTCATCGTCCTCCCCCAAGGTCATGCCACAAGGTCTTGTCCTTGGCAGGGGTCACGCCAATTAGACACAGGACACTCCTAAGGCTATTTTGGTTGCTGGTCTCCCCGCTTACGTGGGCAATTGAAGAACTGCTGTATTTTCCCTTATACTCCTAAACTCCTGGGAAGATAAGGAGGCTGTGCCTTCCCTTCTCATCCAGCTCAGCATGGCCCTAGAATTCCTGGGATCTAGAAAACGGAAACATCCTTACTGAGCATCAGAGACGGTGGTGAAGCTTGAGAGCCGGGATGGGATGGGGTGGAGAGCAGAGACCTTTCTTCACCCCTCTCTGGCCATCCAGAATGACAACACCTGGCTTGCGCCAGTACCCCTCCCCCACCAGCCTGGGAGAGCCCATTGTTAAACTTTACACCTCAGAAATCAGCAGCTGCTACAAATCAGGGCTTGATTTACTGTCTAGACTTGATAAATTGCTGATGATGCAGATTAAACATTTTTTAAAAAGAGATTCTTTATTTTAAGCATTTTGTACTCTAGATTTCAAAGCTAAAATGTCATAAATTTCCAAATGTCAATTTGTCTTCAGAAGAAACTACTTCTGCCTGTAGATCCCAGAAAGGACATAATGTGAAGAAAAGGAGGCCAGACAGCTCAGTGGACTTTTCTTTTCTTTTTTTTTTCTTTTTTGCTTTTTCCCCCTAATGCTCATCTCAGTAAAATGAATTCTTTGCTTCCATTTTGATTCTCCATTAGCAACAATTGCAAAGATAGTCAATCTGGGGAGACTGAGGAACTCTGATGGACACAATGCTGCCCACCTCCAGAGAGACAGCTGATGGATTCAGAATGCAGACTGAAGATTGTCTTCTTTCTTCTTCCTTCCTTCCTTCCTTCCTTCCTTCCTTCCTTCCTTCCTTCCTTCCTTCCTTCCTTCCTTTTTTGGCCATGGCTAACATGGGAATTTATTTCAAGTGGCACTACCCATTTGTAATGTGTTTTGTTTTTCTTGTTTTCACAGTGGGAGGGGAGGGGAGGCTAGAGGGAGAAAATGTAGAATTCAAAATAAAATTGAATTTAAAAAAAGGCAAACTGCTCCCTCTGCTATTGCAGTGGCATAACTGACAATATTCATTTACCTCTCTAAAACAGATTAAACCTAAAAGTGTGTGTGCTTACATTTTTTTTCTCCCAGGAGAGCCTGGTTGTTAAACATTTACCAGCATATCCCTGCCCAGACCTGAACGCAGTAAAAGCATAGCTGGTGATAACTTGGTCTTTTTGAAGATGCTGACAGTGCCAGCTACATAGGCGATGGAAAAAGACTCCTCTCAAACACAGGGTCAGTTGCAAAGAAGCAGATTGAGACTTGGTGGCAGGACAAATTTCCTTAAAATGAGAGTTGTCCCATTCCCGAATGGGCTGCCTGCACAGGTACTAAGCTGCCCCTCATTGGAGGGCTGAATGCTCACTGGAAGGGATTCCCCCAGCCTGGAAGAGAACTCTCTTGAGTCTGATACTCTGGGATTCTGGGTCAAGCCCAGAGATTTCAGGCCTAGAGCCTTCTTCCCAGGTTGGGGGTGCGGTTGATAAGAGACTTTGTGGCCTGGGCCTCCTTTCTTCCCCATTTTGGTTAATGTTCCCCTGGAGGCTGCTTATCTGCCTGGCCCAGACTGGACCCGTGCAGCTAGGCAGCCTCCCTTCTGGGGACCAGGGCCTGCATGTGATCAGAGCCCTTCCCCCTGGGTGCGCCTGCACGTGAGCCTCAGTGGGACTCACAGAGAGTTCCAGGAGGAAAACAGGAATATCAGGTAGAGATGGGCCTCAGGAATCACCTATGGACAGAGAGCCGGGGGCAAGACCTGTGGGAGTGGAAGACCCAGGAAACCTGAGTGCCCAAGTGACCATTAAGGAATGCTGGAGTCAGGATTTGGCTTTGGACAGCTCACTGCCCCCGAACAGCACTGTGACCTGAGGCTTCCTGTCTCTGAGCTTTCTAGCCATGAGAGTTAGTCCCAGAGCAGCCTGGGCTGCTTGGAGAGATGACAGGTCCTCCTTAGTGCAGGGAAGGCTGAATGATGTCATTCTCCAGGAACCTGCACAGGTGGCTTTCTAGCTCAAGCCCAGGTTGGCAGCAAGGTTCTTACAGGCCATGCTTTTGTGAAAGTCCTTTGTAAACTTTTTAGCTATAGCAAAAACAATTACTATAGTGGTCATCACTTCCTTCTTTTTTTTCCAGTGGCTACTGACTTTCTTTTTTTTTCTATTTATTTATTTTTCAAATTCACTTTTATAAGATTTTGAGTCCCAAATTTTTCTCCCTTCCTCCTCTCCCTCCTCCCCCCTCCCCAAGATGGCAAGCAATCTGACATGGGGTATACATGTACAATTATATTAAACATATTTCCACATTAGTCATGTTATAGAAGGAGAATCAGAACAAAAGGGGAAAAACCATAAGAAAGAAAAAAAAGAGAAAATAATATGCTTCAATCTGAATTCAGACTCCATGGTTTTTTCTTTGGATGTGGATAGCAGTTTCTATCAGGAGTCTTTTGGAATTGTCTTAGATCATTGCATTGCTGAGAAGAGCTAACTAAGTCTATCAAAGTTGATCATCATACAATGTGGCTGTTACTGTATACAATGTTCTCGTGGTTCTGCTCACTTCACTCAGCATCAGTTCATGTAAATCCTTCCAGGTTTTTCTGAAATCCACCAGCTCATCATTTCTTATGGAACAATAGTATTCCATTACATTCACATACATAACTTGTTCAGCCACTCCCCAAATGATGGGCATCCTCTCAATTTCCAATTCTTTGCCACCACAAAAAGGGCTGCTATAAATATTCTTGTACATGTGAGTCCTTCTCTCCCTCCCCCCCTTTCTTTGTTTGGCTAGGCAATGAGGTTAAGTGCCTTGCTCAGGGTCACACAGTTAGTGTCAAGTGTCTGAGGCTGGATTTGAACTCAGGTCCTCCTGACTCCAGGGCTGGTGCTCTATCCATTATGCCACCTAGCTGCCCAAACCTTTCCCTTTTTTTATGATCTCTTTGGAATACAGACCTAGTAGTGGTGTTACTGGATCAAAGGGTATGCACAGTTTTATAGCCCTTTGGGCATAGTTCCAAATTGCTCTCCAGAATGGTTGGATCAGTTCACAACTCTACCAACAATGCATTAGTGTTCCAGTTTTCCCAGATCTTCTCCAACATTTGTCATTTTCCTTTTTTGTCATATTAGCCAATCTGATAGGTGTGAGGTGGTACCTCAGAGTTGTTTTAATTTGCATTTCCCTAATCAATAGTAATTTAGAGCATTTTTTCATATGACTATAGATAGCTTTAATTTCTTCATCTGAAAACTGTGTGGTCATCATTTCACTGTGCAGGGGACAGAGGGGGCTCAGGAAGTGAGGACCACTGTCCAGGTTTTGTGCTCTAGGGTTCACCAGGCAGGTTCCCATAGGGGGTGGAGAATAGACCATTTGCTGTAGGTTAATCCTTCAAGCAATGTTAATTGATTCTATCAGCCTAACTGATGGAGACTTCTATTGTTTCTCTGTCCCATAGGAGGGACAGGGATGGGGAAAGAACACTGTCTGTGGCATGAGAGCATGTGGATTAAAAAGCAGATCTTGACACTTAATAAACCTATGTAGGAAATGATAATGGTCAGTGCTGATGTCTGTTCCTTCATCCATTTCCCATGTTTTCATATTAACATAGGACCATAGCATCACAGATTTAGACCTGGCTGGGTGTGGTGGCACACAACTGTAGTTCCTGCCATGGAGAAGGCTAATGTTGGTAGATCTCTTGAGCTTGGAAGTTTTCAGCTGCAGTGCGGCCAAAGCCAGTCGGTGTCCGTACTAAGACTGGCACTGATACAGTGAACCCCTAGAGTGGAGGGTCACCAAGATGGCTAAGGAGGGGCTGAGTAGGCTGAGTGAGAAACAGAAAAGATTGATACTTCCACACTGATCAGTATTGGAATCAGACTCATCAGTGACTGATCTTTCAGACAGGGCAAGGTAGGAAGACAGACAGAAAGAAAGAAAGAAAGAAAGAAAGAAAGAAAGAAAGAAAGAAAGAAAGAAAGAAAGAAAGAAAGAAAGAAAGAAAAGAAAGAAGAAAGAAAGAAAGAAAGAAAGAAAGAAAGAAAGAGAAAGGAAGGAAGAAAGGAAGGAAGAAAGGAAGTTAGGAAAAAGAAAAAGATCTAGAAGGGACCTTAGAAGCCATAGCCCCCTAATTTTACAGATGAGGAAACTGAGGTCCACAGAGGTTGTGTCTTGCCCTTCTCCCTCAATGCTGTGAGCTCTTTGAGAGTAGGGACTGTTTTGGCCTTTCTTTGTATGTCCAGTGCTTAGCGCAGAGCCTAGCATATAGTAGGTGCTTAATGAATGCTTGCTGACTTAACTTGCTTTGCTTGTGTCAAAGATGGGATTAGATGTTGGAGCTGCTGTAATCCTCTGTGGTATTTCATCATGTGTCAAACATGCAGGTGCAGTAACAGGAGGGATGAGATGGAATAGTACTCAAAACATGAAGACATGGAATCTACAGACTTTCTGCAGCTCATGAACCAGACCCCACCTGGGCTACCCTTAGCCACAAGCCCACTTCCCAATCCACTCCCCCAGAGGCAAAGATGCCAAGATCTGGCACATCATGACCACAGAGTTGAGATAAAGTCACAGATCAGGATGCGTGGCTCCACGTGGGAGGTGAAGCAAGAAGGCTGGACTGGGAGAGCCGGTGTTGACTTTATTCTCCAGATTGCCACAGGAGACTCGTTCCCCCTGGGCACCAGCATCCTCAGCTCTGGGAGCAGTCAGGGCTCCCTCTGGAGCTGGGTGGCACAGCAGGTGGGCGGCTGCCCAAGCTGGCGGGGAGGGCTGGGCCTCTTCTGTTCACCCCGGCATCAGAGTGGATAAAGGTCAGAGGATACATTCATTCAAAGAGGACACTGTATTTGATCTTGGAGGTAATAGGGATCTGCTGGAGTTTACTGAGTCAAGAAGTGAGTGATACATTCAGACCTGAGTGAGAAAAATCACTTTGGCAGCTGAATGGAGGGGAGAGAATGGGGCAAAGAGAGCAACTGGGAGGCTGTTACAGTAATCCAGGGGAAGGGCCACAACAGTTGTTGCTGTATGTCGGGGACCAATACAGCAGTAGAACTGGGGAAATCAGCAAGCAACTCTTTACATTCCCATAAAACCAGCAGGGAATCTTTGGAGCAAGGTAATTTTCATTCAGACTGAAGATATTTGGACTTAATGTTGCCCCCAAGGGGTTTGCTCTGGGACCCAGGTCTAGGCCATTGGCCTAAGAAGGCTAAAAAAGCCTTAGGACTTTGGCAAAGAGTTCCTGAGAGGGGACGTCCTGGGGGATGACCTCTCCTCCCTTCCTGGAGATCCCCCTCTCTACTAAGCTCCCACAGCCTGTAAGCTGCCTTTCTTCAACAGATTTTTGGCTGTTCTCTGGGGTGCTCAGCTCCCCAAGCAGTCTTGCATGTTAGCCTCAAGCCCACCACTTGCTCCACCTTGCTGGGTGGCATCCTCAGGAAATTAGCAGATAAGTAAGAAATCTTGACAAGCTGCTCTTGATTAGAGGGACTGGAAGCTGACGTTTAATAAAGGTTAATGTAAAATCTTTGGATCTGGAAATTAATTCCACAAATCCAGAATGGGAGGAGGCATGCTTGGATAGGAAGATCGGGGGTTCTGGGGACCCTGGTGTTCAGCAGAAGTCCACAGTACTTCAAGCCTTAGGCTGCATTAAGAAAGGCATAAAATGCAGGAATAGGGGCATGGGCCAGGTGGAGAGTTCCCCTGTCCTCGGTCCTGGAGTATCTCGCGTCTTGTGGTCAGCTCTAGGGGCCGCAGGACATTCACGGGCTGGAGGAGTCCAGGACCATGTGGTCACGTCTGCTCTACCCGACTACAGAGGAGTATGTTGGGCTGTCTGCCAACTCTCGAAGCCAAGGTCTGTCTTCTTTTTGTCTTTGCAACCTCAGAGCCCAGCACAGTGCCAGGCACATGGGGGTGCTAAGTGCTGACTGACTCATCCAAGGGTCAGACAGGGGCACAGGGGAAGGGAAGATTGGGGCGGGGCTGAGTGAGGAAAAGGGCACAGAGGGGCTCGAGGTGACCCCAAGGGGAGGAAGCCCGGGGTCTGAAGAGCTGGCCCCAGAGGAGGGGGCGGCCTCTGGGGCTTTGGAGTTTCCTACCTTTGGAGGCCTTACCGCGGAGATTGAACGACCTCTGGTGACTAAACGAGGTAGTTAATGCGTGGGACACGTGCTCAGCAAACGCAGAGGCCGGAGCGATGGTAGCGACTGGGGTGTGCGTGTGGGGAGGGTTGAGCTCTCATTCGTGTCTTCCACGAACGCTGAAGTCCTTTCCAGTTCGGACAATGAAAGTGCCCTCCGGAGGGGCCGAGGGGCTGGGGACCCTCCAGCGGAGAGCACGCGCAGGGATGTCCGCGGAGCCCCCGCCCCAGCCTCACGTGGACAGGCGGCCCCCAGGCTCCCGGGGGGAGGTCTGGATGGGGCGGACCTGAGGCGGGCCTAGGGTGGGGCATGCGGAGCTTCCTTGTCCTGGTACCCCCCCACATACACTACCCCCCCACCCTTTCCGTTCGTGCCCCCTGCACTGCCCTCACTCCCCCTCCTCCCCGGGCAGCCCTCGGCCCGCCCCTCTCCCCACTCCTTAGGCCCCACCTTCGCTCACGCGCAGCTTTTAGCCCCCTCCTGGTCTTTCAAAGGCACTCAGGAGGACGACTCCGGCCAGACCGAGAATCTCAGCTCCAGCATCGTGAGACCTGGAGCCTTGGAGCCTTCGGGAGACGGGGAGCTCACTACCTGTCGAGCTGCTGCCTTGCCTCCATGGCTGTCCAAGTGGGCCGTCTCTGCCACATCTCCTTGCACGTCCCCCGCGGCCAGCCCCTGGCCCGGGACTTGCAGCGTTGCTTCGGCTTCCGGCCTGTGGCCGTGCGGGAGTCCGGCGGCTGGCGCCAGCTGGCCCTACGCAGCGGGGACGCCGTGTTCCTGGTGAATGAGAGCGCGCCGGGCACGGGGGGTGGCCGCGAGGGGCCCCTCTACGACGTGGACTCCGCGCACGCCGTGCCCACCGCCTCCAATGTGTGCTTCGAGGTGGCCGACGTGCGGGGCGCCGTCGGGGCTTTGCGGGAGCTCGGCTGCCCTGTGGCTGTGCAGCCTCAGGCCGTGGCCGACGCCCAGGGCACAGTTACCTACGCCGTGGTGCGCTCCCCCGTCGGCAACCTGAGCCACACGCTGCTGGAGCGGGGCGCTTACCGGGGGCCCTTCCTGCCGGGCTTCCAGGAATGCGGCCACCCCGATGGCGACGGCGACGGCCACAGCCAAGGCGGTTGGTTCAGCCACGTGGACCACGTAGCGCTGGCCTGCCCTCGGGGCAGCTCGGGCCCGTGGCTGCGCTGGTACCAGGAGTGCCTGGGCTATCGACGCTTCACTTTGGGCCCGGCCGATGACCACCCTGAGCAGGGCTTGGAGATCCGGGCTGGCCGGCCGGGGGCCTGCGGCTGGCTGCCCTGCAGGCGCCCTCGGGCAGTGTGGCTCCTATGCTGGTGTTGGGCGAATCGCTGCCAGGCCTGCTGGGGGCCCAGGACCAGGTAGAGCTCTTCCTGGCCCAGCACGGGGGCCCGGGCCTGCAGCACGTGGGCCTCTACACTGGGGACATCCTGGCCACAGCCCGTCGAGTGGTTGCAGCCAGCGGCAACCTTGTGGCCCCTCCCGCCACCTACTACCAGCAGGCTGGCAAAGTGGCCCAGATCTTGGCCGTGGGCCAAGAGGTGGGGAGGCTGGCCGAGCTGGGCATCCTGCTGGACAAGGATGGAAGGCAAGGTGAGGGTACCAATTACCTGCTGCAGGTCTTCACCAAGCCCCTCTTTTCGGAGGAGACCTTCTTTTTGGAGCTGATCCAGAGGCGGGGAGCTACAGGCTTTGGCCAAGGTAACATCCAGGCCTTGTGGGAGGCTCTGGAGGAGCACATGGCCACTAGCAAGAGGGCTGGGGAGCCCCGCTGAAGAAGAGAGCCTCCTCAGCCGAGCTGGACCTTGATGTCCTGACCTGCCTTCTGTGCCAGCCTTGGCTACATCAGAACCCTCCTCATGCAGAAGCCCAGCCCCCTCTCAGTGGTGTGTGTGTGCGCAGCCTTACCCACCTCCACTTGGAGGGGCCTGAGAGCCGAGGACCTGGTTGGGTCCTGTCTTCCTCCCACACCCATCCCCCATCTGCCCTATCCAAGGGTGCTAGCTGAGCCTGTCTTTCCAACTTGAAACCCTCCTGGCATCCTAAGGAATCGAGACAGAGTTCACATCTGAATTTCTACTAGAAAGAGGTCCCAGGGCTGCTTCCTCAGTGACCTTGGATTTGATCCTTCCCAGCTATGGGTCCCAGTTTTCTCCTCTAGAATAAAAGCTTCCTAAGAGGTCCTTCACCTTAAATCCGGTGACCCCCTGACCTTAGCCAAACTGTCCTTGGCAAGTGCCTAGCCTGAGGTTGTGCAGGGGCCTTCATCTTGACCAGGTGTGATAAGATTGGCACAGATGCTAGTGCCTAGGAAGCTGCCAGGAGCCAGGCAACGGCCTGAAAGCCGCCCCTAAGCCATGGGGGTGGGGGCAGAAGAGGGGAGCCTCTCTGAACCTGATCCTGGGACCTGGAGGAGACATTCTTGGGGGGTGGGGAAGGGGATCTCGCCTCAGCCCCATACCCGGTCTGTCCTTGGCTAATAAAGACCTTAAAAGCTCCGCTACTAGATTGGCTTTATCTCCTCTCCTACCCCACCCTCCCATTGGGGACGGGGTAGGGAAGCTGGAGAGGGTGGCCTCCAGCATGGGCGTAGGGGACTTGGTGTTGGGAGGAATCTCAGCCCTCCCTAGCCTGGGCATGGCCAGGTTGTCCCTGGACGTTTTCAAGCACTGCTAGTGAGTTGCCTCTGAGGGAACCTGGACTGGTGTACAAGTGATTAATTAGCTTGTTTGTGTTCCCCCTCCCCTGGGACAGAACTGGGAGGAACTTGGGCTGGGATGCCCCCAGCTAATTGAGGCTGAACTTGGAAGCCTGTGGAGGCTGCTAGAGACAAAGGCAAATACCGTGGCAAAGGCAGGTCTTAGATGCTTAGATGGAGAATGGGCCAGGCCAGGTGCTGCCCTGAGCAGGTGTGCCTGGGGGCCTGGACTCTTCCCCTCCCCTAAACTAGCCGCAGCCCGACCCAGGGGTGAGTATTGGACTTGGGACCCAGGAAGCTGGATTTCAGATCTCGACAGAGTTCTGTCTTTGCTGAGTGATTGAAAGCAAGTCTCAACCCAGGCCTCCGTTATCTCCTCTGCAAGGTGTAGGTCATCTTTGTATTATCTGGCTCAAAAGGTTATTTTAAGGAAAGTACCTGGCAAAACCTGTAGCCCTGGGGAAATGTGGGTTGCAACCGGGGTTATCTGCCCTAGGTGCCTGGATGTGAGGGACACTGAGGTGAACAGTCCATGGGGGGGGGGGAGTTCCTGGCATAGACCCTACCTAGAATTAATGACCAGTAAGGGACCAGGCTCAAGGCCACCGAGCAAAGCAAGTACACAGCTTGACCACATAACCCTAAAATGTTTTTGCATAAATAGTATCAAGACAGGATTAGAAAAGAACAGTGGAAATGATGAGGATGGGATCTGAATTCCTTAAAGGAAAACACCAAAAGTATTAAACTGTCGGTTTATGACAACTGTTGGGCCATGAAAACATGGCCCAAATCACTAATGGTAAGAGAAAGGCAAATTAAAACACCGCTGAGGTTTCACTTATGTGCAAATTGGCCAAGATGAGAACTGGGAACAGTCTATGCTGGAAGGGCTGTGGAAAGTCAGACCCTGATGCATTACTTTCAGCTGAGCTTTCTTTGAAATAGACCAGCCTTTCTGGATGTAGGGAAAGTGACTAAATTGTACTCATTGACCTAGCAGTCTCACTATGTGGACCAATCCCAAGGAAGTCAGAGTCAGAAACGGTCCTAATATATATATATCAAAAGTGTCATGGAAGCACTCTTTGGGGTAGCTAAAAAAAGGGGGGGCACCCACAAGATTCATAAAACAAGGGTCTATGGATATTCAAAGACAGCTGAGAGTCAGCATACTCTTATGATTCGCTTTAATGAAAAATGAATTCAATTTATTATAATTTAATAATAATCCTCTAAAATAATCAATTCTCTAATAAATAAGAATGGTTGCACATATAACTCCAAGAGTCCCATTCATGACCCCATTTGAGGTTTTCTTGGCAGAGATATTGGAGTGGTTTGCCATTTCCTTCTCCAGCTCATTTTACAGATGAAGAAACCGAGAAACAGGGTTCAGTGACTTTCCCAGGGTCACACAGCTAGTAAATGTCCAAGGCCAAATTTGACCCCAGATCTTCCTGACCCGAGGCTGGGAGCCACCTAGCTGCCCCAACAAAGGATATGCTATTTCACTTCACAAGAATTGTAAACTAGTAGATTATAGAAACGTGCTCTCAATCACGAATCTCCAGAGAAATTCAAATGAGCCAGGCCTGCTAGGATAAGCACTCCCATTTTTCTAGAGCTTCAAAGTTTGCAAAGTACTTTTTTTTTTTAGGCAATTGGGGTTCAGTGACTTGCCCAGGGTCACAGAGCTAGTAAGTGTCAAGTGTTTGGTCTGAGGCTGGATTTGAACTCAGGTTCTCCTGACTTCAGGGCTGGTGCTCTATCCACTGCGCCACCTAGCTGCCCCCAAAGAACTTTTCGAAGCACAGCCCCTGGAACCAGGACCCACGGGCTCACATCCTGACAGTGAGACCCTGGCCCAGTGGTTTATTTAACCTCTCACTGCCCCAGCAGAGGTGCCTACCTGGATAGGTTGGGAGACTTCTCTCCCTGGAAAGCTTCTACTGTAGGAATGAGAAAAAGGCCCAGCTCTTGGCCTAGCAACGTGCAGCGAGAAGTGATGAGCAATGGGCCTGGGAACCCTGTACACGAAGCAAACAGGGCTTATCCAGGCTTGCAAAGCTCTAACATCCCTTTGGACTGTCATGACCACCCTGGGAAAGAGGGGTTGTCATTACCATCCCCATCTTCCCCTTCTCCTCCACTGTGAGTGTCTGGGGCCATATTTGAATTGAGGGCTTCCCGAGTAGAAGCCCTGTGCTCTGTGGCACCACCTAGTGGCCCCTAAGAAACATTACTCAAGAGCGGCGCTATGCTAGGAGTAGTTGAAGGTCCCAGAGAAGAGATATGGAAATAGACTTCCTTTCTCACTGCGAAGAGGTAGGGGGCCAGTAGGGCGTACTACTGCATGCACTGTTGGATGAAGTTTCTGTACCAGATATTTTTGCTCACTTGTTTTTGTTGTAAGGTAGGTTTCCATCTGCGGCTGGAAAATAAGCAAGACGGCAATAACTTTTTTAAGTGATCAGGCTCTGCAATGATATTTAAGCTGTTTTCACGACCTAAGAGGATGCAGTCTTCAGGAGGTCTATGCCTAGAGTCATTCTAGAAGACTTTGCAACCTTGACACTGAACCCCAGAATCTTAGGGTTGGCAAAAGCTCAGGACATAAGCCTCCAGCTTGTGGGGATGGCAGAGTGCGAGACGGGGGAAAGGCCAGATTTTTTTTGGTTTTTTGGCTAGGCAATGGGGTTAAGTGACTTGCTGAGGGTCACACAGGTAGTAAGTGTTATGTGTCTGAGGCCGGATTTGAACTCAGGTCCTTCTGAATCCAGGGCCGGTGCTCTATCCACTGCACCACCTAGCTGCCCCTGAAAGGCCAGATTTCTATTCACACATGTGCACACAGGGAGGCCAGCCCAGGACTGGCCCTGACCTGAGTGGATTCTTTGGATCCCAAACCCCTGCTTGCCAGGCTTCCTTCACACCGAACAACAGAAGCAAAGGCACTGACTGGGACCTGCTCTCCCCTCCTCCCAGGATACCCCAGGAACAAAGCCCATCTCTCTTGCCTCTGATGGCAAACTCAGCGAGCAGATTTCAAAAGCAAATGCCTTCTTTATTATTAAGAGACATTTCTCATGACATTGCCTTTTTTTTCCCCCTGCTTAAATTCATACCCTAACCTACCCTCTTAAAACTGGTTTCATCAGCCAGAGAACTTTGATTGTGGCTGGCTGCTTAAAAATTATGCTCATTAGCCCTAACAAAGGAATTAGCTAGGTGGACAGAGCATTGGCCCTGGAGTTAGGAAGACCTGAGTTCAAATCCAGCCTCAGATACTACCTAGTTGTGTGACCCTTGGCAAGTGCCTTAACCTGTTTCCACATCTGTACAATGGGAATATTAATAGCATCTGTCTTCCAGGGTTGTGAAGATAAAATGAGAATAATTGTAAAACTCAGCACAGCGCCAGGCACACAGTGACCGATACACGTCAGTTATCATTGTAAGGCAAGCTCCTGTTTAAATGATCAGGCCCCAGTGTTTGGTGTTTTCGTTAAAACTCCAACCCCAACTAAATGATCACATTTTGCCCGTGTCAAGCCCACCCTTTTGGATAACAAAGGTACGGTTCTGGAGGAGCCTTTTTTAGACCCAAATCCTGGCAGAGCCCTGCTGCCCGCCTCTTCATCTGGAAGCACCCTTGGGCTGCAAAATCCTGGGTTAAGTACCCAGTGAACCCGATTCCCTTCCCCCCAAGGCAAGGCCTGCGGGTTCCTAGAATTAACCAGGAGGCTTTTCTACTTAAATTCCTGACTTTCCCTTAAGATAACTGGCCAGATTACAATTCTTTCATAAAACTCTTGCCTTTCACCCTCCAAATGCATGTCACTGGGGTTGCTGGGCAGCAATCCTGACACAGTGGGCTGCTTTGGAGGCCTGTGGGACCCGTCTCTCTCACTCCTGGCACTGTCCATGGGCACAGAAGCAGTCTGGGGATAGAGATGTGCCATCATCTGTGCTCATGATGTGACCAGCCCCTACGATTCCACCACCTGAGGCACACTGGAGAAGGCCCAAAGTTACCGAGTGCCAGCCCACCCTCTGAACAGAAACCACCTCTACAGCTGTGTCCCCAAGTGGCCATCCAGCCACTGTTCTGAAGACCTCCCAGGTCAGGGGGCTCATTACCTCCTCCTAACTGGCTCCCATGGAAAGAGAAGGGACTTTCAGTAGGGCTGAGACCTAGGCATGTTTGCAGAGCAGGCACAGAGATGGCAGGGTGCCTGAGGCCAGGAGTCCAGAGCAAGGACCTTGGTACCCAGGATGCATGATCTTACTTCCTTGCTCCCGAGCAAGGTTGCTGAGTCACAGACACCTGGTGGGGCTTGGCAAAGAGGCCTGGCTAGTGTGTCTATAGGAGGTGAGTCACCTGGTCAACCCTGCCCCAATTACAGGGAGCTTTGGAGCCGAGTGGCCAGGCCTCTATGCCCTAGCAGCCCAGTTCTGAGCTGCCCTGGCTCTTCCTTCAGAGGACAGGCACCTTCTCTTTGTCCTCTTGGAAAGAGGAAGTAGCAGGGAGAGGGTTTGAAGGGCAAGAAGGTACTGGAGAGAGAGTCTTTAAAAACAAATCCTTTATTTACCTAATAGGAGTCTCACTGCTGACCTGCAGCCAGGCTGAGGGGAGAGGGAGGGGAAGGGGCACCTGCCCCATCTTCAGGGCCCTAGGGCCAATCAGGAGGCAGATGTTGGCTTGAAAAAGGCATTGAGGGTTAGTTGTCGATGCTGGTGGCTAGGCCCAGGCCCAGGGCCTAAAGTGGCAGGATCTTGGGGACTTTTGGAGGCCTGTGGGGGAAACCAGGAAGATGGGGGTCCCTGGCAGCCAGAGGAGACTGGGAGCATGGAACCCTCATGCCAAGGCTCCCCCAGTGTGCCGGGGCAGGTGGCACAATGTAAAAACAGGACTGGGTCTGGGGGCAGAGAACTGAGGCTCTGACACCAACTTACAAAGGGACTCTGGGCAAGGGTCTTGATGTCCCCAAACCTGTTTCCTCCTCTGTCAAATGGGGTCAGTAATCCGCCTAGGTTCCTTCCCAGGTTTTTGGTGAGGCTCAGAGGGCAGGGAAGTGAGGCTGGGCTTGAGGCAGACTCAGACACTCCCCAGCTGTGCCCCCTGGGCAAGCCTCCTGCCCTCCCTGGGCTCCTACAATGTGGGTGTGGGCCCAGGAACTCACCTTCCTGTGCCCTGAGGGCTGGCCCTCAAACAGCCGAAGAACCTGCCCGGGCAAGAAGCAGGAGGTGGGTGAATGGCCTTGGCTCCTAGCCCCCAGCCCCACTGCTCCCCGATCCCCGGTACCTTCTTCATGGCTGTAGACACGGCAGCCTCCTGGAACTCAGCCTGGCTCACCCAGCGGGCACCCGATGGGGGCAGGCCCTGGGGCTGCTCTTTCAGCGCCAGGCTGTATACCACGTAGGTCTGCCGGATGTGGGAGAAGACATGGACCACCTGGGGAAAGCAGGGGTGAGCAGGGGCTGCTGGACAGCAGCTGCACAGAGCCCCCTCCTGCCTCTCTGCTCACCTCGCCAAGGCACCGCAGGCTCCTCAGGGGGAGGGGGCCGCCCACCCAGGTCTGCAGCGCCTTCACAAGTGCCCGGCGCTGGACGTACTCAGTGCCTTCTGCTGGCACGGAGGGGAACTCCCAGAGGCCAGCCAACAGGCCTGCAAGGAGGGTGAGCAGCCGTCAATCCTTCCTGGGCACCCCCTCTGCTTCCCCTACCTCCAATGCAGAGAGAGTACCAGGTGATCTCAGGGGTCATCTAATCCATCCCCTATGGAGGAGGAAGCTGAGGCCCAAGACGCAAGGACTCACCCAAGATCACTAGGGAGGTGACAGAAAGAGGATTTGAACCCAGGCCTGAGGAGACCTCTGCCCAGCTTCCGTACCTGAACTGGGCCTCTGCACCAGCAGGAAGCGGCCGGTCTCAGGGCCCGGCTGCTGAAGGACACAGACAGCCGCCCGCTGCTCCCGGGGGGCTTTCCGGGCTGGCTGGCGGGGAAAGTTGGCCACACCAAGGTCTTGACGCCAAGGCTCTGATGGGGACAGGCAGAGCGGACACGAGCCGGCCCTCCTGGGGGCTGGACACGGAGACAGGCTGAGGCCAAGGTCTGGGGCAGGGGGATGGTTCCCCGGCCCAGCCCAGGGCTGTTCCCTCCCTTCTGATGCCAGTCCCACAGACGCTGGGTAAAACATGAGAGGAGACCCCACGAGTGCCTGCAAACTGCCAAGGCTGCCCTAAGGTGGGCCAGGCCTCCTAGGGCCTGGCAGGGGCTGGGAAGAGGTGACTGGGCCAGCCTGGACTCTCACCACACTCCTCCACTTCAAGCATCTTCTCCTGCTCTGGGCTGCCCAGTAGCCTCCCAGACGCCGCTGTCTGCTCCTTCTCTACCTGCCGTCAAGGATGGGGCACTTGGCAAGGGCTCTGTGGCCCCCTGCTTCCCGCCCGCCCCAGGCCCCCCTGCCCCAAGGGTGCTCACCCTCTTCTGGGCCTGACAGAAGCCCCGCACGGGGCACTCGGGGCACAGTGGACCTCGGGGGGTGCAGACTGTAGCGCCCAGCTCCATGGCTGCCTGGTTGAAGTCCCCGGGCCGGGCTGGGTCCACCAGATGCTGGGCCAGGCTCCTGCCACACAGCTCCGTGGGTTAGAGCTCCTGGGGCCCACATGGCCCTAGAGAAGGGCCACCTCCCGCCTCCCATCACCAGCTGCCCTGGACTGGGCAATGCCAGGTCCCCTTCCCTTTACCCAGCCCCTGCCCCTTGCCCCAAGCACAGGCTAAGCTGGCTCAGCCTACCAGAGATGCTGGGTGACCATGGGGCTTCCTGGGTCTGCCCCGATGGCTCGTACGCGGCATAGGACACGGGTCACATTCCCATCCACCACACCAGTCACCTGGCACAGAAACGGCCAGCTCAGCAGCCTCATTCCTCCTTGCCCTGGCATTCAAGCCCCTCTGAGGTACCCCCGCCCCATCCTCTGACCCCTGACCTGGCCAAAGGCGATGGAGGCGATGGCCCCCGCTGTGTACCGGCCCACTCCAGGCAGCAGCTTCTGTAGCATGGCTGCTGTGCGGGGTACGTGGCCCCCCAGCTCCTCCACCACCTGGGGGGGAACATCCAGAGTCATCCTGTGACAGGGTTACCATAGGAACCTTCCACCCTCTGATGTGGCCTGTCCCCACCTTTACACATAAGGAAACAGGCAGGGGGGAATGCTGCCAAGGAAACGAGTTTAAGGAAACAGGCGTTTATAACGCCCTACTGTGCGCCAGGTGCTGCGCCAAGTGCTTCACAAGCGCTGTCCAAGTTGGTCCTGTGTCCAAGTCCACTCCTGTGAGGTAGGTGCTATCGTGACTCTCATTTTACAGATGAAGAAAATGAAGCACAGATTAAGTGACCTGTCCAGGGTCACATAGCTAGCTGAGCATGTGAGGTCACATCCGACCACAGGCCCAGTGCTCCATCCACGGCGCCATCCTGTGGCCTCTTGGCGGTGCTGGCCACAGGACGAGTGGGGCTGGGCTCCAGTCAGACCAGGCCAGGACCCCCCCCCCCCAGCTCTTCCAGCCTGGGGGGTCTGGGCTCTGCCTCCCTCGGCCCTCCAGGAGCTGCCCAAGCCCTCACCTTGCGAGCGCCTTCCTGTAGCCGCCGGCCCCGTGAATAGTAACCCAGGCCGGCCCACAGCTGGTTCACCTCCTGTCAGACAAGACAGAAATGCACACGTCAGGGGACCAGAAAGACCCAGGAAGGCCCAGCCCAACTCCACCCCCAAACTGTTCTTACCTCCAAGGATGCCCCCGCCAGGTCCTGCAGCGCTGGCCATTTCTGCAGGCCCCAGGAGAGACAAAAGAGGTCATTTGGGGGGGCAGCACCTCCCTGCTCCCTCTCTTTGGGGGTAAACTGAGGCACAGGGGAGGGTTCCACTTTGGGGTAATGTGGGTTTATGATCTCCCTCCAGCCCTGTGCTGGGCATGCCGGGGCATACACTCAGGATCAGGCTGTCTTTGCTGCGTGGGAGTGGGGGTGGAGGGGCACTGCTCTGGCCATGGACATCACCTGCATCCATCTGGTATAGTAGCCAATAACTGTGGCGACCTGGGTCTGCTGGAGCATGATCTCAGACACCCAAACTGCAGGCAGGGATGGGGGCAGAGTTAGAGCAGAAGTGGTGTGACCACCCGCCACCCCCGGCGTCCAGTCAGCCCCAGGCCCAGGTTCTCACCAGAGTACGCCCTCCTGTCCGGGTCCAGCTCTCCTGCTGCCTGTGGACAATTGGGGGGCAGGAGCTCAAGCAGGAGGCTGACCCCCCTGCTGCCTCTCGCCCCATCTCTTCCATCCTGCTCACACATACCCTCCTCCTCCAGGGCAGGTCGCGCTTGGCCTGATCATACCAGCTTAGGAGGCTGGCCCGGAACCTGGTGACCTCGTCAGCATCACCAAACAGATGGTATGGGGACGCCTGGCTGGGGGACCCTGGGCCTATGGGGGATGGGTAGGAGATGCCTCAGGGGTCCAGCCAGCATGTGAACTGGGAGTCACCTCTGCCCCAGCTTCCTCTTCTGTAAGAAGACCCCCATGGGTCAGGGCCCACCCTCCAAAGTGCTTCATGGCTCAGTGTTCAGGGGAAGGTCACATGGGTGGCAGGGGACTGAGGGTCTTCTGACCCTGCTGTGCCATCCAGCCTTCTGTTCCCTGAGCTTCTCCCCACCCCCAAACACACACTCTGCAGCCTTCCCGAGTCCCTCCTGAAGCTTGGTAAATCTGCTGGTGAAAGGGGGGGGCTCCCCCAAATCTGAAGCAGGGCGGTAACTCACCTGTGTCCGGGCTGGGCTGCTCCCCATGCCTCTGGCTGCCTCCCCCTGCCTTTCGGGGCTTCCTCATGGCCAGCTGGGGACCCTCTGCTCAGCCCCAGGGGGTCAGACTGGCTCTTTGTGGACTCCCCAGGCTGGGTGACTTCCAGTAGGGGCCTTGTTCTGCTGCCCACACCTGGCTTGCCTCAGGCTCTGGGCCACAGGCCTCCTCTTCCTCCCTAGATGGGGACACAGATGGATGCAGCTCTGACCGAGGGCAGGAGGAACAGGGGCTAACGGTCAGTCAAGAGGCAGCTGCTCTGGGCCCAGCCCAGTAAGGGAGTAGGCACGCAGTGGACAGGGATGGAGAAAGGGCCCATGGCGCTCCATTCCAGAGAGGCAGAACGTGGCCCCTGCCCTGGCGAGGCTGACCCCTTGTCCCAGCTCCGACAGGGGTGCCCTGACTGTAGGTCAGCGCTGATACACATCACACCAGGGGCCATTCTCTGGAAGCAGCAGGTACTTAAATGCTGATTGAGCTCAAGGGATGTGAACATGTGAGAAAGAAGGGGGTGGAGAAAACTGAAGAAAACATTCACTGGCAGGTCACAGACCCAAGACCCACGACTGTATAAGAGGAGAAAGAGTTGAAGGTGGGGTCAACAGATCTGGATGAAGTCCCTTCCTTGTCTCCTCCTCAGTCTCCTCATCTGTAAAATGGAGATGAATCTTGTAGTCCTCCCCTCCCCCCAGGGCTATTGTGTGTCAAGTGCTTTGTAGCCTCAACAGCACCACAGAATACCAGTAACTATTAACCAGGGACCTAGTACCCCTCGGATGTGACATGCCATCTCCAGCCTCTGTGCCCTTGCCTAGGCTGTCCCTTCATGCCTGGTGCATCCTTCCTTCTCATCTCCCCCTTAGAGAATCTGCATCGTTTGTACTTTTGTCTCCCCAGTAGAAACCAATCCCCTGGATTAAATTCACCTGAGAGATAGCAGAATACCAATTCCTCATTGCACAGAGAGGGGCGAGGATCAGCCAAGGGTCACAAAAGGTGAGAAAAAACCAGAGCAGGCCTCCCCGCCCCCCACCGCTGGCGTCCTCCTGTCTAGTGGCTCCACGTGGGCAGGGGGCATGAGCCCCATCCCCCAAGGCTGGAGAGCTGGCGTGCGCTTAGCCTCTCTCAGGGTTCGATCTCATCTCCGTGCCCGGCCTCTCCCGCCTGTCTCTACCTCGGGCTCCCCTCTCCAAGCAAGATCGCCATCCTCGACCCTGCCGCACGTGGCTGGCCGGAGGGACCCCTGCAGGACCCCGGGAACCTCGAAGCAGGGTCCATCTCGGCTTCCTCAGTTTCCCTTTCTGTACAAGGGAGGGTGATGGTGCCTTCTCCAGGGCTGGGGACGCGATAGACGGGAAGGTTTGAGCGCGAGTGTGGCAGTTGGGGAGGAGAGCACTAGCGGGTTATGGAGGGGTCCGGCTGGGGAGGTAATGAAGAAGGGGGCGCCACGCTTGTGAGGGGGGGCTGATGGGGGAACCCACAGTGGGGTTCATCTAGCTTAGGGGGGAATGGGGAAGGGGTGGCGGGGAGGGGGGGAGTGTTGGGGGAGGGGCACCCAGTGCGGGGCACGTGGACGCCTGGACTCTTCCCTTTACCGTTACCTCTCGCGTTCCCGCGGAAAGCCTCGAGGAGGTGGAGAGCTCTGGCCAATCACAGCCCGATTGGGAGCTCAGGGCGGGGTCTCGGCGCGGAAGCCAATGGGCTCCCAGCGCACGCAGGCCCGCTGCGGGGCCTCGAGGTCCCAGCCTGCCCAACTGTGCGCCTGAAGCACTGATCAGCGCAAGGGCGTCAGGAGGCTGGAGGCGGGCGCTCAGGCAGAGCTGCAGGCAGCTCCACGCGGAAACGGAGGCCCCGCCCTCAGCTGTTGAGGCGTTGTGGCGGCTGGTGCGGAGACGGAGACGGAGGCTGAAGTGGAGGCTCCAGAGTCCACCCGCGCAGTCAAGGACCAGGCGAAGGAGCCAGATAGGTGAAGGCAAGAGGAGAGACCGGGATGGGGAAGTGCCAGGAGTGGGCGCGCCCGACCTGCGGCACGCAGATGCGGGCGGGGAGGCGGACGGCGGTGGGGGTGGAGGGTGGTGGTGACTACAAGTCCCAGCGTGCACCGCAGTTTCCTCTGGCTATGGGTCGCTGATCTGAGGGCGCTTCGAAGCATGCCGGGAGCTGTGACCCCTGTAACAGCGAGGCATGCCGGGAGCGGGGCCTCTCGTAGTCTGAGCCGGAAGGTCCTTTGACCCCCTACCCCCCCCCCGGTCCATTTGACAGATGAGGCGGCGGTGCAGAGAGGGGAGGGAGCTCATCCCAGCGTGGAGGGGGCATCCTTGGCAGGTGGGGGCACCTCCTCCCTGGAGTTCTCCAAGCAAGGGCTGCCCCACTCCTTGTGTGGGTTGGACTCGACTTGGATCGAGTCATTCCCCTTTCTTGGACCTCAGTTTCCCAATCTGTAAAATGAGGGGGATAAATTGGATGAGCCCTGTGGCCAATCAGAGGAGGGGCCCCAGGCGCACGTTGGGCCCCTACTTGAGCTGGGGAGAAGGAACGAGCCCTTCCCCTCCCTGGGCTTTACCCTCCTGAGGGGATTAGGTCGGAGAATTGAGTCATTAAACACTTATGGGGGGAGGGGAAGATGCCACGTCCTAGCAGGGGGAGGGTTGGGGCAAAGTGAGGGAGGCCAGGAAAGGGTCGGATTGTGAGAGGGGGCGAGGCAGCCCGCGTGCATTTAGTTAGTGCCTGCTGTGTGCCAGAAAGACAGCGGGACCTGGGTTATGAAGGACTTAGAAGCAGCAGACAGAAGTTTGTAGGTTTCTGATTGGAGACCCAAAGGAGTGGTCGCACAAGAGCCAGGATTCGAATCCAGCTCCTCTGACCCTAGGTCTGGGACTCTTTCCTCCCTAGGGCAGTTGTAGTGCCCAGGGGAGAGACTGGGGCTGGATATCAAGAGAGACATAGGCGTTGTCTGCACAGAGACATTGAAGCCAAGGAAGCTGGTGAGCTCACCAGGTGAGATGACCAGAAGAAGGTACCTGGACTCCTGGCAGGCAGGTGAAGCCTGGGGAGCCACCCTCCCAGGACTGTTCTTAAATGCATCAGATAGGATGACAAAAGGGATTCCATGGAAATACAGTTGTCCAGATGTTGAAAACAAGTTCTCTACTGCAGGTTAGGAGGGTCTGGTGTAGAGGGACAAGGGCCCGGGCCGGAGCTTTTGGGGCTGGCTGGGGTTAGAGGAAGATCCAGCACAGGAGGCAAGCCAGGAGAGAGCAGGGGCACAAATCCCTAGAGAAATCGTGTTCCAGGAAAGAAAGCAATGGCCATGTGTGAATGGTTGCAGGCAGCTCCATTGGGCCTCCAGCTTCCCATTCAGGAGGCTCAGGCTCCCTTTTGGCTCTTCTGAGGCAGCTGGTGGTGTGTGGGCACAGCCCAGGACCTGGAGTCAGGAAGACCTGAGTTCCAGTCTGGCCTCAGACACTTCCTAGCTGTGGGACCCTGGACAAGTCACTTAACTTCTTTCTGCCTCATTTTCCTCATCTGTAAAACAGGGATGATTGCAGCACCTGCCTCCCGAGGTTGTCGTGAAGATAAAACAAGATAACATTTGTAAAGTGTCTAGCAAACCTTAAAGTGCTATTTAAATGTGACCTTTTATTGCTGCGTTAATGGTGTGACTCCCAGGCCCTTCCCCCTCCTCTGTACACTTTCCAGGTTATCAGTGTCCTTCCTAACCTCTGGTACTCCAGAGGGCATTTGACCAAAGCCAAAGACAACTGGACCATCCTGTGTATTCCTGAAAGCATTGCCCCACGGAGGGCAGCCCAGGATCATGGGAACTTGTAGTCCACTAGCACCCCCAGATCTTTTTATACCAGGTACTTTGGCAGGCCTCCCTACTTTACACTTGTGGAGGTGAGGCTTTACGCCCTGGCCCCCCTTGAATAGCCTCTTGTAAGGCTGGGCCCAGTGTTGTAGCCTGAGAAGGGCCATTAGGACTCTGACTGTCATGGATGGGCATACTGTCTGCTTTGTCCAAGGCATCGATGAAAGCATGAAGCAGCCATCGGGCTTTCCTTTGGAGACTTCCCAAGCTCATATTTTCATGACTGCTCCGGGTTTCACTAGCATCTGGCTTGATTAGGGTATTTGGGGAGGTGCAGCTGGCCTGCCTCCATCATTCTCCTTCCTCCCCTCAGGTGGGGGCATGGAGCTTCCAGAGACATTGCGTTTTAGGGTGCCTGTGGTAGATGTGCAGGTGGACAACTTCAAGGACATGTGGCCTTCCATCCTACTGGCAATCAAGACAGCCAGCTTTGTAGCTGTGGATACGGTGAGGGCCGGGGGTGGGCCAGGGTGGTCCTGGGAGGCTCTGGCCTCCAGCAGCTACCCTGGGCTGGGCTGGCTAAGGCCAGGCTGTGTCCCTCATTCGCAGCCTCCTCTGCTTTCCTCAGGAGCTGAGCGGTCTTGGGGAGAGGAGGAATTTGCTGAATCAGTGAGTTAAGTCCCTGCCCCTCCCTGTGTGCATGCAGGACCCAGACCTCTTCTACTAGGGCTTAGCCTCTGAGCCTGCCAGGAGTTGGTCTGTGTGCCCTGGGGAGGAGCCTTCCTGGGCAGTGGGCGGTGGGGTCCTGATTGGGCTTTCCTTTTTTTTTTCTCTTTTTTTTTTAATGAGGCAGTTGGGGTTAAGTGACTTGCCCAGGGTCACACAGCTAGTAAGTGTTACGTGTCTGAGGTCGGATCTGAACTCAGGTCCTCCTGATTCCAGGGCTGGTGCTCTATCCACTGTACCACTTAGCTGCCTCCCCCTTGATTGGGCGTTTCTTACCCAGCATCTTGTGTGTCCTCAGTTGCATCGAAGAGCGATATAAAGCCATATCCCGCGCAGCCCGATCACGTTCTGTCCTTTCCCTGGGCCTGGCTTGCTTTAAGAAGCAGAGGAACAAGGTAGCCTTGGGATGCATGGGACCAGCCGGAGACAGGGAGGGGGCAAAGGGGCAGCAAGCCTAAGGCCCCGCCTCCATCTCTGGCTCTCTCCCAGGGAGAGCACAATTACCTCGTGCAAGTGTTTAACCTCACTCTGCTGTGCATGCAAGAGTACGTCATTGAGCCGCAGTCGGTGCAGTTCCTGGTGCGGCACGGCTTTGACTTCAACCGCCAGTACACGCAGGGCATTCCTTACCACAAAGGCGATGACAAGGTAGGCGTTCTGCACGGCCCAGCAGAGGAGGCTCCGCCCAGGGCACAGGTGACAGTGGGCTCTGACAGACTGGGCTGGGGGCCCCACAATGCAGCGTGGGTCCCTGGGGGAGGTCGGGGCAGAGGAGCCACCCCTGCCTCTCGTGGCTCCCAGGGCGACGAAAGCCGCAGCCAAGGGGTCCGGATGCTGTTCCTGGAGCTGATCCGCGCCCGCCGGCCGCTGGTGCTACACAACGGACTGATTGACCTGGCCTTCCTCTATCAGAGCTTTTACGCTCACCTGCCAGACAAGCTGGTCACTTTCACCGCTGACCTCTTTGAGATGTTCCCAGCTGGGATCTATGATACCAAGTATGCTTCAGAGTTCCACGCCCGCTTTGTGGCCTCCTACTTGGAGTACGCCTACAGGAAGTGGTAAGGGAACCCCGCCCTGCCTGGGAAGTGGGCTCCAGAGCCTGACTGGGGAGAGGGCGTGGAGGCCCCAACAAACACAGCACGTTTGCTGATTGCAGTGAACGGGAGAATGGGAAGCAGCGAGCCGCCGGAGCCCCCCACTTGGTCTTGGAGTTCTGCAGCTATCCATCCAGCATGGACGCCCACATTGACTACCGCTGCTGCCCCGTATCCGAGTCCCACACCCAACTGAGCCCCAACCTCTCCACCTCTAACATCTGTGATACTTTCTCTGTGAGTGTCTTCCCCAGGGCAGGGGGAACCAGGGGAACTGAGAATCTCCTTTCTTCTTGCCTTACCTCTTCTCTTTCAGGCCTATGGCTGGTGTCCCCTGGGGCTACAGTGCCCTCAGTCCCATGATGTTGACCTCATCATCAGCACAGATGAGGCCATGGAGGACAAAAGGAAGCGGCGAGGAGGCCGGCGGAGGAAGCGGTGGAAGGGACTGCCAGGCCAGCCTGGGCCTGTGCCTGGGGAGGGGCCAACCCCCCAAAAACAGACCTGCAGGAAAGGCCATGGGGCTGAAGTAGAAGATGGAGCCAACCCTTTAGAGAGCGAGACTGAGGATGTGTCTTTGTCTGGCCCGGAGCCATGCTCCAGTGAGGACTTGGAACCAGAACCAGAGCCAGAGCTGGAGCTGGCCCTAGAGCCTGGGGAAAGAGCCGGGCAGAGCTCTGGGTCTCGAGGGGCCAGTGTGGGAGGGGGGTTACATCGTGCTGGCTTTGATGCATTCATGACAGGTTATGTCATGGCCTATATGGGGGTGAGTGGGGATTCGCAGGCCTGCAATGAGCCTTGGTTGCCAGAGTGCCACAATAAGGTGTATCTGAGTGGCAAGTCTGTGCCCCTGCCCATAGCCAAGAGCCACTTCTCCAGGACCTCCAAAGCCCACAGTGAGAAGATGAAGCTGGCCTGGGGCAGCAGCTAAGCCAGTCTCCTTCCTGCCCAGCCCCCAGGCCTTCAAGGAGGAGGCTGGGCCCCTGGGCTTCCTCTTCTCTAACTGGCCCTTGCACCCTCCCCACATACACGTGGAAGAGGGTTGTGGTTAGGGCCTGGGTCGGGACAGTTAAAGACTGAGGTGACAGAGGTTTGTGGCCCATTCTGGCCAACTTGAGAGAGGAGAGCAGGACTCCTGCGGACAGCACCCCCTTCCCAGGGGCCCAAGAAAGCCAAGTCTGACCAGCTACCTGCAACTCTTTTTAATTTTTAAATCTGAAAGCAACTTGGTAAAGTTTTACAAAAAAAGAAAAGAAAAAAAATTATGAAACAATTTAACCGGCTTCATCTTTGGTTCTGCTCGTGGCTCCGCCAGAACAGCCCTTCCCTCCCGGCCTACCCGTCCCCCCAAAACAAACTCATTTGCTTGACACGTCCCTAAACATACACATTAGAAACGTGGTTTGCAAAGCCGGTTTGGGCAGTGTTAACACATGGGGCTAGGGGCCCAGGAAGTGCCCAGAGCCCATGCTGCTGGTCACAAGGTGAGCTATTTACAGATGGCCAAGTTTTAAGACTCCTTCATAAATATGAAAATAGACATGTCATCTGGACAGTTCTAAATGTTCTAAATTCATGAAACCCAAGGTTAGGCAGCCCTGCCAGGTCCTGCCTGCCCTTCCCCCCAACCCCCCTTGCATAGAATCCACCCTAGGGACAGCAGGACTGGAGCAGTAAGTGCAAAAGAGATTTGAAATTCAAGTGTCATATACTGGCAAGAAGTGTCCACGTCCTTGGGTGGGAGACTCGGCCCTCTCCCCTGCTGCTAGTTTGTCCATATGTGCATCAAAGCTTAGCTCCAAACTCCAAACAGGAGCTTATGGCCCTTTGGAGACTTGCAGTGGGGCTGGAGAGGAGACTGAGGACCTAGTGTGACCACCCCCTGCTCTGTCCCCAACTGACTGAGCTATGCTGGGCAGTGAGGAAGGCTGCTCCTTTGGCATCAGCTGAGAGGGATGGCCCATCTGGTCCCCAGAACCATCAGGAGATGGCATTGGTGAGGCGGTGGAGAATGCTGGTTCAAAGTCTGGAGGGCCTTGGGAGCTCTCAGCCTATATTTTGCTTTAACTGAGGCTGAGCTCTGGACTAGTGATAAGTGTCTGGCTCTCCTGGGCACCAGGCCAGGCAGACTAGCTGCTTGTGCCCACTGTGTCTCTCCCCATTCCCTGAGGAGGGGCAGGATGCAGCAGGCCTCAGCTGGGGCTGAGGTGGAGAGAAAGCCTAAGACCATGGAGCCCAGGCTCAGGTTTTGTAAGAAACTGCCCTGAACCAGAGTCTCTGGCCCCCTGGTCTGGAAAGGGGGCCAAGCCCTGGCCAGGCTCACCCATCACATTCTATCTGCCCTTGACTGCCCCTGCTGCCTGCTGCAGCCCCAGCCGGGCTGGGCAGCAGGTTTTGGGGCATCTCGGAATCCTCTACTTCCACAGCCTCTGGGGCAAGGGGCCCAAAGCCATTCTCCTCCTGGGAGCTTACAGTACAAGAACAGTCCATGGCTTCTTGTTCCGAAGCATGTGAGGAGGCTGGGCCCCGGAACGGTGGGATCTCCGTGACCCCATATTTAAGGCTGCTGAGTAGCCGCAGGGGGCCCTCAAAAGGGGTCTCCTCTCGTCCCCCAAAGAGGCCAGCCTCCTGCTGCAAGAACTCAGGGCAGCTGGGCAGAGAGCGCCAGCGGCGAAGAGGCGCGGCCACAGGCTCCTGCCATTCTGTGGGAAGCCGGCTAATATCTCCACCGGAGCCCCCGGGCCCTGGTGCGTCCAGGTCAAACACCAGAGAGATGACTGACTTGCTGGGCATGTCAAAGAATTTGATTTTGCCCCCCTTGAGGTCCTGACGGGCACTGAAAGGATTGATCTTGGGGATATGGGTCCCTCCACCACGGTGGGGCACATAGGAGGGGTCTAGCACGCTCACTGCACGTGGGGCTTTGTGGGTGAAGATGTCTGACTGGCTTCGGGACAACCAGATGGTGCGGCGTGGGTGAGGAGACTTGGGCGGAATCTTGTTGTCCAGGGAGCTCGGCCGCTTCACCCCAGGGCCCTTCTCCAGGAGGCCTGAAAGGATGGAAGCCGTCAGTTCCCCAGCTGCCTTCTTCCCTACATCCCCCATCTCCCAGCTTCCCCCTTGCCACAGGGCCCACTCCTCAGGGTTCCTGCTGGCTCTCACCCTTGGCAATGGACACAGGCTCTCTGTCTTTCTCCACTTCTTCTTCCTGTAAGCAGCTCAGAGTCTCTTCCAGGATCTTTACAATTTCAGCAAAGGGGGGCCGGAGCTTTGGGTCCATCTGTGAACACAGCAGTGGGCAGTGGGAGGGGGTGGGAGAAATGAACCACGCTGACCTGCAGCCTTCTTTCCTCTGGAGCTAAGGGGAGGGTCTGTCCTCAGTGGAAAACTAAGAATGACAGAATTTCAGGGCCAGAAGGGACTCAGTTCAGCCATTCCCACCCCACTGTCAAACATACACCCCCCTCCATTTCTGGAGGTATCACTCCTCCCATGAAGCCTTCATCAGGGCCAGGCAGGGGCTAAGCTCTAGAGCTGCAAAGAAAGGCAAAGAATCCTTGCCTTCAAGGCACTTACTATCTCATGGAGGGAAACAAAGGAGAAATAACTGTATATAGAAGACTACTGCTTGCTGTGAGATGGGCCTCATAGAAGACAATAGAACGCACTTTCTCATTCTGAGCCTCAGTTTCCCCCATCAGAAAATCTCATCATAGGAAGGGAGCTCAGTGGGAATAAGACCGCCCCCTCTCCATCCCAGAAACAAGTGGCCTCTACTTGCAGACCTCCAAGGACAGGGAGATCACTACCTCTCAAGGCAGCCCATCCCACTCAGGGATGGGAAATTCTTCTAGACCATCAAGCTCAGTTGGCCCCTCTGTGGCCTTCTCCCTTTGTTCCTGGCTCTACCCTCTGGGCCAAGGGGAGCAAGGCTGACCCTCCTCCATGACAGCCTCTCAAACACTTGGAGCCGGGGATCCCCTGGGATCCTCCCTGAATGTTCTTCTTTCCAGGATAAACATCCCTGGGTCCCTCCCTTGAGCTCCCATGGCATGAACCCCAGGTCCTTCCCCCTCCTGCCTGCCCTCCTCTGGGACACTCTCCAGCCCATTCAACGCCCTTCTCAGACCCCCGTGCTCCAGCGGAGGCCTGACAGGGCCTCACCTCTTTAGTCCTGAATGCAGCCCCACAGTGCACCAGGTTTTGTCTACCCTAACACACTAGTGTGTGAGACTCAGGTCCACTAGGACCGCCAGTCTCTTCCAGACAAGCTGCTGTCTGTCCAGTCGGACTCCACTATCCTATACCTATGAAGGTGACTTTGGAACCAAGTGTAGGCCATTTATCCCCTGAATTTGACCTGTTATCTCCTTTTAATTTCAAGCTCTGTCAGCTGGTTTGTCCACTACCCCCCTGTCTAGTGTGGGCTCATCTGCTATTTGATGAGTGTGGCACTGATGCCTTTACCCAACCAACAGCCCAGGGTCACGCACAGTCAGTCAAACAAACTTGAAGAAGTGCATGCCGTGTGCCAGGCACTGTCCCTGCTCTTAGGAGCTCCCAGGTTAACAGGGTGGGGGTGGGGTGGGGAGACAGCCTGTGAACAAGTATGTAGAGTCAAGGGCCATCCAGGGTGAATTGGAAATAAGCGCCAGGGGCAGGCACTGGCATCAAGAGGGCTGGGGAAGGCTTCCTATAGAAGGTGGGATTTTGGCTGAGGTCTGAAAGGAGCCAGGGAAGGCAGGAGGTGGAGAGGAGGAGGGAGAGTGTTCCAGGCCCAAGGGACAGCCTGAGAAAATGCCCAGAGCCAAGAGACGGAGCGTGGTGTTCATGGACTAGCCCAGAGGCTGGTGTCACCGGATGGAAGAGTGCATAGATGGGTAACATAGAACAAGAAGACTGGAAATATATGAAGAGGCTCCGAACACCAAACAAAGGATTTCGTATTTGGTCCTGGAGGTGATAAGGAGCCACTGTAATTCACCCAATAGCATAAATCACATTTTTATTTAGCATGTTGTCTCCCTCGTTCATCTGTTACAGCAGGGACTATGTCTTTGCCTTTCTTTGTACTCAAAACACTTTGCACCATGCCTGTGCACACTACACACACAGTAAATGAGTAACATCACCGACTGACAACCTGGTCCCTCTTGGACCTTCCAGGAGTAGCCATGGATCCCCTGGACGTCCTTGGAGGTGCACAGCTCAGTCATTAGTCATCAGAGCTGTCCACAAGTGACGTGGGCTTCCTGATGAGGGACCAGATCGAAAGGAGGATTGTTGGTGAGAAGACTGGAGCTCAAGGACAGGTGCCCTGCCCTGGGGGTCTGAGCCCCGGGTATGGCCATGGAAGAGGAGAGAAGGAACTCACGTTGCAGCAGTTGAAGGCAAGCTGCAGGAAGTCTGGGGGACAGTCTCCCACCATGTGCTGGAAGGCGTCATAGTCCAGGCCGAAGTTCTGTGAACAAAAACGGAGGAAGCTGGTGGGGATCTATGACACTCGGCCCTCCCAGGCCCTGGTGAAAGCACATCCCTCCAACCTGCCCTGGTCCGGGGCTTGCTCACCTCCGTCCGGGGCAGATAGTCTGGATCAGCCTGGATTCTGGCGATGATCTCACAGAGGATGATCCCGTAGGAGAACACGTCAGCCTGTAGAGGGGATGACAGGGATGGTAAGTCCGCTCCCCTACCCTGCACCTCACCATTTCCCCAGATCCTGCACAGCATATCCGCCTTTACTCAAGAAGCCACATTAAGGGGTGATGAGCCTGGGGAGGGCACCCAGGGAAAAAAGGGCAGAGCAAAGCAGCAACCCCGCCCCAAGCTACAGGCCAGACCGGGCCCTTCCGAACAGCCCCAGCAAGCTCCCCGCGTTGGCCACCACTCACTCTGTGCCTCCTGCTGCCTCTCCAGGGACCAGATCCTGAAAGGAATGTCTGTTTCCCTAAGGTCCTGAGATCAGCTCAGCGCCAACACTAGCCTCCCCAGCCCCTGACACGGGGACCCTCACACTTACCTTCTCATTGTAGGGCTCATCTCTGAGAACTTCTGGGGCCATCCAGAAGGGGGAGCCCACCACTGCCAGCTTCTCACTTCCTGCACTGCGGGAAGGGAGAGAGAGTCACCCAAAGAGCCTCGGAGATGCCTAAAGACAGCTGGCGGGGAGCATGGAAGCTAGGTGGTAGCTCAGAGGTCACAGGAATGCCAAGGCCTTTCTCTTCAGAAGGGTCACCTACCTGCAATCAGGAATCTTCTCAGCCAGGCCAAAGTCAGCCACCACAGCAGAGTAACCATTCTCCTCATTCTTAATCAGGCAGTTCTGCATTTTCCAAAAAGAGGAGAAAACAAGATAGTGGAATCTGACTCTCTGAACACACTGCCCTCCCTCCCCCAATCTAATGGTACATACAGGTAGGCCTGGGCACCAAGGATCGATGGGTTTCAGAGATTTCATTGAGTCTAACCCCCTCATTTTACAGATGAGGAAACTGAGGCCCAGAGAGGGGATGTGGTTTGTCCAGGTGCTACACAGCTGCCTCCTTGCTACTTCAGCCTGTCTCTAGCGAACTGCCAGGCTGTGCACGCTGCCCTCATAGTCCCATCCTCACAGAGTCTATAAACAGCCATGGTTAGGAGCTCTTTCTATCCCCTTGTCACAGCCCCTGGCTCCACATGAGGACTGCAGACCCTGTAAGAGGAAGGGGAAAACCGGGGCTCTCAAGAGAAGTGAGCTCTGACACTGCTGAGCCTCCGGGTCCCCTGAGCCTGAGAGCAGAACCAGTGATAA